CTGAAGAAGGGAATTTTATAAGTGTGTGTGTGTGTGTGAGTGTGTGTGTGTGTGTGTGTGTGTTGGATGTATGTGTGTGTGTGCATGTGTCAGTGTGTGTATGTGTGTGTGTATGTTAGGTGTGTGCATTATCTAGAAATGAAGGCTAGATAAGATACAGCAGATATTTGGTGTGGTTATGATGATTAATAAGCATTTCTCATGTGCCAACCAGCTAACAGTTTTGTTTATTAGTGACATCAAGCACCAGGCTCAACGTCATGGCTTCCTCTATCCTTCCATGCCCCGTCTGGCAGATGGTGGGTGTTTTATACAATGAAGGCACTTGACAATGTCCCATGATCCACCCAGTACCACAATGCAATGAAATCACCTCTTGGAGCAACTACAGGGGATGTTTGCCTTTCTCCTGTTCCGTTTACCAACCTCGGGAGCTTGGGGGAATCTTAGCAGAGTTCATTAGACCCAGAAATTACATCACAGGAAGGGAGCCAAGTCGTTAATGGCTGCAAATCCCTTATATAACTGGAGTTTTCAGGTCATATATTTATAGACTTTTAGAGCTGGAGAAGCCCTTAGAGGTTATTCCAGTCCGATCCTTTTATTTTGCAGTAAAATGAAGCACAGAAGAGGGAATTGGCAGTCCAAGGTCACACAGACAGGGACACAGCTGGGATGAGAGCCCAGGTTCCTTGACTCTTTTTCCTCTGCTTGATCTTAATTAAGGTAGCATCATTTTTAGATGGAAATTACTCTGGCTTCAAATAAGGATTTTTGAACCTGATCATTTCTCCCTCTTCTTTCCTTTTTGGAAATGCACAAAGACGAAGAGGAAGAAAACTAGCACATTGTAGGTGCTCAATAATTGGGTTAGTTGGTTTTGGTGTCATGGAATGATCTTACTTTATGTAGCTTAACAAAACTGGATACAACTATCCTTGAATTTGTTTAATTCTTTATTCTCTCCAATAACCAAAAGATGGTTAGAGGCTTGAATCTCACCCTACTGTCCCATTGCAAATTTCATTGTAGATCTGAAGTTATAATATGACATTCATTGGTTTGAAGGAAAGGCTTTCTGCAGAAGGCACATGGATTTAAAGTAACTTTGATTTAAGCTTATGGAAGTTAGTGGGAATCCTCCTTGAAGCACAGACACTATCAGCACTTGAGATTATACAGGCTGCCCGGTGAGTTGGGACACAGCATAAACATTTCCTACACCTATTTCAGATACATGATTAAAACAGACATGAAATGGCCCTAACTGTACATTAGCCACTTGGGTCTAACACTTCTGAATCTTATTGCTATGTATTGTAAATCACGTTTTTGATCAAAATCTTCCATTGCATTTAGGTTTCTTCCAAACACCATCCTGATGAATCACAGTGTTGTCATTCTGCTACTTTATAGATTCATGTTCAGCAAGGCATGTTCCATGATCCATGGGAGCCCTCGTGTAGCATGAGAAGATCCGCTGGGGGCTTTCTCTTCAGACCCTAATAGACCAGGGCTTACAGTTTTCTGGAACAGCAGTGATTCACTGAGAAAGAACAAGAAAACTCACTGCTAGGGTGTTCCCATAACGTTGAACACAATGTCCCCTCCCACCCTGACACATACATGCCACCTCCCACCACTGCCAGCCACCATTCCAAGGCCAAACACCACTCTGCAGTCCCAGCTATTGGGAATGCCCCCAGGACAGGACCCCCTCATTTCCTGATCATTCATTTATTTGTATTGAGCACTTTCCATGTGGCAGGCACCCTAGTGGGCCCTGGGAATACAGGGGTGACCAAATACAGGAGTGGTCCCTTCTCACATGGCACTCACAGTCCTTCAAAGGCATGACTGGTTCATAGAATCAGCTGTTCGGTCAAATCCGCCTTAGGGATTTTAAGTCACTGGTGTGCTGTCATAGCAAAGGGGCTTGGGGTAGAAACTCTGCTTTAGGTCTGGGGCCTCAGAGGGGCTCATCAAATCACTGAGGTGTGCACGAGATTGTTTGCCAGAAGCTCACTCTGCAACCTGTGCAAGCTTCTGGAGAGCCATGCAGCCCCTCTCGTCTCAGAGAATGGGTTTAGGGAACTGTCAGCACTGAGGCCATGGAGGGAACGTTCTGGGCTGTGTGAAGGTGGCTGCACAGCTGAGGGCGTCCTCACTGCCTGGGAACTCCACACATAGTCTTTGTGGCTCTCACCCCATAGCTAAGCTATTGGCAGACCTGAAGGATGGCCTGACTGGAGACCTATCCTCCTTTCTCAGTCTCGGTGCTGAGGTTTTGGGTGGTAGACTTGCCTGCCCTGGGGGATCTCCTGTACCCTCTCCATCCCTGGAACACTTGAGGACTATGAGTACCCACTTCACCCCCAAACCCAAAAGGCCTATCAAATTTCCCACCAAACACTCAGGAGGAAATCCAATTTGGGTATCAAGAAGCACCCGGTTTTCCTAGCTCATCAGAAGCTGCTGTTGCAAAGACATCTGGCGAGTCCTGTGTGTACCTATTTCAGCACAACCCAGAGGCTGGGCTGTCCCAGGTTCCAGCAGTGGAAGAAACTATCCTAGCATGGTCTGCTTTCGCCAAGTATTGTCCACTACAATGTCACATAAGGTACTCCCAGAATGATTCCAACGACCATGCAATTCCTGTTACATTCTGCTACATACACCTCCGAAGAAATAAACACATAATGTGATCAGTTGGTTTCCCAAGAGGCTGCAAACTCTTCAAAGGCACATATGTGGCCCCGGTAGCAGCACAGCACATGGCAATCACATGACAAATGTGGGCCATTTAATTAATTCGTTAGTTCCTCTCCATCTCCATAGTACCTCACACACTGTCTTTAACAAAGAAAGATCTCAAAAAAAAAAATGCTAGTGATGGACACTAAAGGTTAGGCTCTTCTGGACTTTTACCCATCTCCCTCATCTTCATGGAAAACAATCAAGTATGTGGGTGATAGGCCTCTTTCCTGTAAGGAGGCCCAGCTACCAGCTGCAGCATTCAGGGGGTTTCTTGTTATGTTCCTGCAAGTTTGAGGGAGGTGCCTCAACCATGGAGTGGAGGGCGGCATTGACCCAAAGCTGCCCAGTTGAAAGAGAGCCAAACCTCTCACTCTCCGCTCTGCAGAAGCTTCTCCTACATTCGCAGGCTCATGCCCCTGCCTCCCCCAGACTGAGTGGGCACACGACGGGCATCATACCAGTGTGGTGAACTTGTCTATGCAGGCATTGCGGATCTTCTCTGGGGTGGCGGGGCTGTCTAGCTGGAAAAGCTCCTTCGTATTATCTGTGTGCTGAGCTCGCGCCGCACGGATGGCATCCTTGATGGCAAAGAAGATGGAGGAGGCCAGGAAGAGGGGCGGCTCCCCAACAGCCTGTGTGGACACAGCAGAGGACAGGCAATCAGAGAGAGGGGCCCCAACTTCCACAGCAGGAGGGCTGGTGATGCCGGGGATCCCAGCTACCAACACTAATGGGCCACAATTCATCAGGGACCAAGAACAACCAATCTAGTAAATGACTCTCCCTCGTTGGCATACTTCTTTAATTCTTATTATGTGATTTTTTTTCTGATGACACCATGCAAATATAATGTAGCATTAAAATTATACAAATTATATTTCATAGATAAAAAACACCTGACATGAACTTTAACTCTTTCCTCACGGTTACAAGCCTAGGGGAATAGTCTACTTGCAACTCTGACACCACCATTTACAGGCACTATAAGTAATTATACTTGTAGCATCTGCTGGGATACAGGCGTCATGACAGACAGGAATTAAAACATTTTCTGAAACAGGTGGTTTTATCCCCCACAGCATAGATCAGAGACTACCTGTATCAGAATCACTAGGGACACGTTAAAAATGCATGTTCCTGGGCCCTACCCCAGATCCACTGAATCAAAATTTCTAGGGGTGGCCCACAGAACTGCATTTTCATCATGAGTCCCCAGTGAATCTGATGCATGTTAAAAGTGAGAGCCAATGGCAGGAAAGTGTCCCAGACCATCCCAAGCTAACGTAACCCATGGGCTGAGCAAGTGGGTAGGTTTCATTACTCACAAGTGGTTATCTGTGTTCCTTCTTAAACATTGGACTCTATCAATCAGCTTAATTGATTTTCAACCTTTTTTTTTCATACTTATTATGGACAGGGAGGAAACAGGATGGTTGTCATCCTTCAGGCATGCCAATGAAGTCTTATGTTCAGGTGGCAGCACTGAAGGAGGTGAAAGGGGGTGCACGGAGGCCTTATTCCATCTGCAGTGAATATGCTGGTTCTAGTGGGATGACAGGAAATCTATACCTGTGAGATCATCTCTAGGACCAAACATCAGGGACACACACCTGAGACGTGGCTGTAGGTCATGATTTGACATACAGGATTGAACTAATGAATTTCTGAGTGCACCTAAAGGAGCTGGTTTCAACCACATGAAGGTGTGTCATCCTCAACCCAGTTCGCTGGTTGTCAGGCAGGACTGCCCACCTCTCCACCACCATCGCCAAACTAGTGTCAAGCCCTCTTCTTCCTTCCAGATGAGCCTGTTGCAGACCCACATGGTGAGTGGCTGAAGCCCCTGTCACCACCCATGGCCTCCAATGGTGCAGGCCAGAAGGCAGCACAAACCCATGGCAGCAGTACCTTGGATGCGTAGATGGCCTTCTTGTTGGAGCTGTCACGGAGCAGAAACACCCTGAACTTAACGGGGATGCTCCCAAACGTAGGGATCTTGTAGGTGCTGGGGCCGCGGGTGATCAGGCTCCCCTCAGGGGAGTAGCGTAGCTCCTCCATGGTGAAGAGGCCCAAGCCCTGGACAAACGCCCCTTCCACCTGCAAGGCAGAAGGAGACAGTGACTAGCCTGCCTCTCCCTCCCCAAGGACAGGAACTGCTTCCCATAATGGGCACCAAGCCCAACCCTGAGTGGGGCCTGGAAAGAAGCTAAAAACAGCCCTCCACTGCTTACCTGGCTCCCGCCTCACCTGGGATCACCTCTCTAGGCCTTCACCAGGTATTAGCATAGGCAGACACAGGTATTAACACAGAAGGTGGATGTCAGAACTTGTCAGCGATTCCAGGAGGCTCATGCAGTGGAGGCCTAATTTGCCATTAGGACCTGCCACAGGGCATGTGGAGATGTGTCTCCCATGTTGCCACTGAAGAAATGGCAACCCCAAGCTGAGATGTGAGCTTGCAGGCTAATGTTTTCTGAGTGTCCCTCCGGGCCCATGCTCCCGCTGTGTGCTAAGTAGGACCATGTACCCTTGAGCAGCCTCAAATAGGAGGAATTTCTAAGATAGTAGATTCTAGACTTCTTGAACTCCCAGCCCTGCCTGCCCTCTGGGAGACAAAATGCGTTGCTGTAGCTTACAAATCTGTTTGGGGTACATTCCACTCTCTCCTGGCCCACATGTCTGCTCTCCCAGCCTCACTGCTCAGAATCAGATAGGTGGTGCCATGTAGCCAAACAAGAATGTTCAGCAAGGAGACCAGGTACTAACCATCTTTCTGTCTTGCTGCCCAGCTCAGTGCCTGCCCATAGAGGGGCTCCCAGCGTTGTTGTCTGATGAACTCATGAACCGATTGACTCATGGCTAGGTTTCTTATACTCAGTAATTGTCCACTTTAGAGAAGTACAAATTATATTACCTATTAGATGCTCAGTACATCAGTCCTGGATTCCGCCCTCTGTCTCCTCCTGTTCCACCTGCTCTATCCAATACTCTCATATTTTCCTAAATAGATTTGCCTTGGGCCATCATCCCTTTATTCTGCTTATTCAAACCTGAGTCTTTTGCTCCCAAGTGCCCTCCACTACGCCATGCTTGAGTACACTGCTGTCCTGGGTGGAAGGGGAAAGAGGAAGGAGAAAACTCCTCTGACCTCTGACCCCAATGCCTGCACATCAATCCCAAACTCAATCTCCATTCCACACTGTGCTCTTTCTCTAATCATTCATGTGTGTGTGTGCTCGTGTGCATCCAGTGTTTTCCCCATTCATCTCATTCTCCGAGGTGTGAGTGCCCTCTCTGAGTCAATCCACATTCATGTGTCTTTTGCCTTGAGAGTTGGGTGGGCTCTCATCCGTCTAAATCGCACTCTGAGGAAGACGAACTTGGTACCATGTCAGACCCACTTCCCAACGACATGGGACAAGATGTTCTGGCTGGTGACCCCAGAACGGGAAAGGGGCACATCAGTGGCCAAGCCCATCATCACCCAGGTTCCCCATGGGCCTTACCTGTCCAATATCAATAGCAGGGTTCAGACTGCAGCCAACATCCATGACAATGTCTGTGTGAATGTTCTACAATGGACAAGAAATTAAATGCTGTTTGAGAAGCAAGGGATGTGTGGAATGAGAGATGGGTCTTGGTGACCCTTGAACTAGGAAGTACTAAGCCACACAGGACTTTCACAAATGGAATACTCTGGGCACACTCAGGCAGGCGTGTTCATGCCCTTGCCAGGCTCCACTGCTGTTGCCACAGCTGAAATTTGAGTCCTACAGCTGGGGAGGGGATAGGAGTGGCAATGTTCTCTCATTAATCTGAAATAACTGTTCACACACCCACATCTCCGTAGAGTGCAAATGAAACAGTCAGCAAACTATAGTCCATGGGCTGAATCCAGCCCATCCATTTTTGCAGGGCCTGTGAGCTACTAATGGTTTTCACATAATTAAATGTCCAAAAAAATAAAAAATAAAACGAAGAATATGTGTGACATGTGAAAACTACATGAAATTCACACTCAGGGTACATCACTACCATTTTTATGGGAACACAGCCGTGCTCCTTTGTTTCCATATGTCTATGGCTGTTTCTGCACTCCAGTATTAGAGTTGAGGCAGTGTCTTTCTATCCCAGAAAGCCTAAAGAGTTTACTCTCTGGTCCTTTATGGGAAGTTGGCCAAGCCATGATGTATGGCATTATTTTCTCAACCAGAAATTTGTCTCCATCAGCTCTTGGTATTGCAATTCAACTGTTTCTCTTTTCTTTTCCCCCTCAATACTGAAGTTTGGCAAACTTCTTACCTTATGATCCCCTGTTAAGCAGTCAATTTCCACTTCAGAACAAGCCACCCCATAGCTGAAGTAGTGGAAGCGATTTCCTGAGTTGGTCTCAAAACTGTAGTTAATATTGGGCGTTCTGGGGGTAAAAAAGAAAATAATGCACATGTATTAAGATGAACATGGCCCTATCCCTCATACACACACACACACACACACACACACACACACACACACACACACACAGCTTGTCTCACAAAATCTTAAGACCCCAAAGGTTATATTTTTTCATTCAGCTCTTCTTCAAGAAAGTCCATGTGTTTTTAATATTTTGAACCTGTTAATGAAAGCCAGGTACCAGAGCACTGTATCTCTCATCTCTGTTCTATTTGGCCAGGGGCTCTCACATGAATCACCCTGTACTGCCAAGCTAGGTTTAGTGTCAGCATGCTGGCCTCTAGTGATAGAAATGGAGGTGACAGTTTTCTGAGCTCACGAAGCACATGAAAGTCACACCCCAAAGGATCTACTGAATTGGAATGCAAGATCTCAGGAACAAAGGTTATCCTGTGCAGACTCCTGAGCTGTTGACACAGGTTCACCTGTTCACAGGGCAGCTCACCTTTCTCAAGACACAGGTTCACCTGTCCACAGGTCGGCTCACCTTTCTCAAGGTGGAAGTTAACAAGATAAGTATCTCATGACAGCAAGCAGCATCTTTAAGCAGCCACTTACCTGCTTTACTCCTCCTACTGGCTGCTTTGAAATTTTAACAAATGCTTTGAGGAAAGTGCTATTAATAAAAGCTGCTGCTGTCTTATACGTTTTTTTTTCTTTTTCAGTCCTGAGTATCTTATATAATTCCAACTTTACATGAGTCATATGTACATGTGTATATGTATGTGCATGTGTGTGTATTCTCATTCCCGGAGTTTATAGTATTTCGTATCTATGCTGTTCTATACATTACACACAAATCATTGAGCTGATGTGATCAGAATCTGCATGAAAACAAAACTAATACAGGGGTGAGAAAGATGGCTTCTCCTAGAAGAAGCTACCACCTCCTTTGACTTCTGACTTCACCATCTTCAACTGGGTGTTCCCTTATATAATCCCCAGTTTCTGTTTTTGTTTTTGTTTATGTTTTGTTTTGTTACAAATTTTATTGGGGAACAGTGTTTTTTCCAGGGCCCATCAGCTCCAAGTGAAATATTTCTTCTAATCTAGTTGTAGAGGGCGCAACTCAGAGGCCTATGTGGGGATCGAACTGGCAACCTTGGTGTTGTGAGCACTGCGCTCTAACCAACTGAGCTAACCGGCCACCCCAACTCCCAGTTATATGAGCTCCAAAAAATGAAATGGGAACTTATGAGAAAATCTGCATTAGTTTGTGTTTGTGTAGGTCAGATATATGGAACCCAGAGAGCACTGAAAAAACAACACTTTGCCTAAAACATGTGTGTGTGTGTGAATGTGTGTGTGTGTTGATATATTTAAACAAAACTTTTTAAAGCAACCATTGAACTATTATTCAAATCTATAGATATGTAGAAGAAAAGCTCCTAGTCACATTTCCCAGAGAAAGCTAAAAGATATGGCTGACAGTAAATGTGATCATATTTTTTAGAGCTTCTAAATCAGATGATTTAAATCCTTTCTAGCTCTTTGTGTTACTACTGAATTTTAAGGTTGCAGAAGACATGAGCTCTTTTCTAAATCTCACTTAAGTTCTGATGAATTCTGCATTTATAACAAGACCACATGCTCTAAATCTTCCTCTTTGTTTTGAAGGAAAGCCTCCAAAAACAAATGCAACACATTGTACAAAGTAACTCGCACAGGTAACTCAGCACCCTGGACGCCCTGGTTCTCACAGAAGAGCACTGATGGAGGAATGGTTGGTAATTGTCTCACTCTGTCATAAATGAGGACACAGGTTCAGAGGAAATCACTGATTTCCCCAAGGGTGATGTTACACTAAGACCAGAGCTCGAACACGGCTCTTCTGATAAGGCAGCTCATGCTTTAGCCTCCTTGGCTCACACTGTGGTAATCCATGGATTTTAGAACTTCTTTAAACTGAAATTCATTGAAGACCATTGAAGAGATAAGAGTTTTGGTTGAATGGCTCTCTCCTGACCACAGGATGACAGAATTCAGTGCTGGAGGGGACATGGGCGGTTAGGATGACAGCACATTGTGAGATGGGTGAGATCAGCATCAGACTTACTTGTAAAACCCAGTAGCGGACAAGCTCACTGCATCTTCATAGGCAGCCATAACCTGAGGAGAAGAAACGGCCATGAGGAAGGAGGAAGTATGGTTTCTGACCTGGCACTAAGCTTTCGTCAGCTCTTCCTTCTCATCTGGAAGTTGATCAGCACTTTACTAGTGACTGTCACTTCTGTACCTCACCTCTCCCGCTCACTGCCAGCCCCTGCACCAGGCCCTTGACATCTGAAGCCTGGGGTGCTACTGTAGCCTCCTAACTGGTCTCATCGCCTCGAGTTGCCTCCCCCAACTGCTGTGTAGCCCAGCCCAGCCAGAGTGGTCGTCTTAACATACCATACTGGCCAGGTCACTCTCTTATTTTAGAGCTTTTGATGACTCCCCATTGCCTACAGAGCAAATGCCTAACTTTAAGGACCCCAATCTTCTCTGGCTTGATGTAACACACATATCACTGTCACTCCATCCAAACTTAAGTGTTACCTCTCACTCAACCTTTCCATGTTCCCATACCTCTGCTCCTTTGCTTATGTGGTTCCTCTGCTATTTCTGTCCAAATCCTTTGCTTCCCTCAACAACCAAAAGAAGCCTTCCTCTTAAACCACCCCACCTCTGTGATTACTCCCTACTCTTGGCATTACAACAGTGTCTCTCTAAATTGCTCATTTGATTCATATGTTCTTATTGATACTTTCCTATTAATAAAGCTATTTATCTATCCATCCATCCTAAGTCCTTAACTACATAATAAGTTTTTTGGGGTTTCCCAAGCACTAGCACAGCACTGAGATTTAATTTGTTGTTGACACAGTTGGCATCATCACCTTCAATTACCAACCTCTTTACTATGTGCCAGATGCTGTTAAGCACTTTGCATACATCACCTTCCTTAATATCGTGTACAATCCTATAAGATCAGTATATGAATATCATCATTTTACAGATGAGGAAACTGAGGTTTAGGATCCTCACCATATGTATATGGTATCAAATATATAAATATATATATAGTGGTGATGGTGGTAGTAATGGCTTATTTGTCAGTACGGTGCATACATTCAAGAGATTTGATGCCTGTCATTTCCTGACCACACCCTTTTGACCATGACCTTTTTTGAAGCTACTTGCTTATAAGGAATACTGGACAGTATGGCTAATAGCTGAGGACAAAGCTCAGGTGAATAAGGCTGTTATTGAAAACATTGACATTGCCTTCCAAATCCATGCTAAAATCCAAGCTACCAAAATCAGCCTCTCTCACGGGGTGCTTGTGGGTGTGGTACTCGTGAGTGTGGAATGGGAAGTAGATGTCACAGAAGGCAGATTTACTCTGTGACCCAGATGAGTGGGTCCAAGAAAAACAAAACTTTTTCCTTTGAATCTACTGAGGGAGACTTGTACTCTCTGAGCTGGTTCGTATGCAGTCTATTTAATGCATTGCCATTATGCCCAGTTCTCCCATTCCAACACCGGGGATTGCTGAAGCAGGGCTGCCACTGATATTTCTGCTTCTTGGAGAAGCTGAAGTCTCCCACCGGAGAGACTTCCTTGTAGCTTCCCTCTGAGAGTTTCTCACATGCAGGCCACAGAATCAGAAATCAGAGAACTGGGCTCATTTTTATTAGGAGTGCTTGTTCTGTCACTGCTAAAATCACAGGAATGATATAAACTCTTGTATAATGTCTTTTCCCTGCGCCCTCACAGGTGGAATCTCAGTGGAACCAGACTTCAGAGCTGGGTAAGGAAAAAGGCAACTTCTGGTCCATCAAGGCTGTGGATGAATGGGACATCGGACCAGGCCTGAGTGAGCCAAGAATTCACAGTGAGGCCTGTTCAGCAGGCACCCTTGTCATTTTAGGTTCAGGACAGCCAAATCCCCAATTCCCACAGGGCTGTCAAAATCCTGGATCAAAAATTTTCCTCAGGTGACTTCCCTCAACTATGACAACTATAGAGAAAGGTGTACAGGAAGACTCAGCATTTACCTGTCCTGTGAAAGCATACAGACCCCCTCAACTTCTCTCTCCTTGTGTGACTAGATCATCATCTCCTATTTCTGCTCAGGGTAGGGACAGAGACCCGGCTTTTAATTTTCTCTCATTTGCAAAAGCGACTTGAAACAGCTCACACTTACCCAGTCTTCCCAGGAGCCACTGGGATTCTTTTCCTTGAAGGGCTCCAGCCTTTTCAGTATGGTCTGACAAGCTTCCTAAAGAATACATCCAGCACACATCAGACACATCAAACCTCGACATTTCCCAGCCCAGGCAAAAACACGGAGAGCCTCGGTAAAGCCATCTCCAAGTAATGCTGTGCCCAGGGTGACATTGAAACAGCCTTGCCACCCCCTAAGGAACGACTGAGGCCAGGTGTAGAAGCCACAGGATCCTGCCAAAGGGATACCACTGGCCTTTGCTTGGAGAGCACTTCTGACCCAGTTCTGAGGCTAACTGAGGGTGAAGTGTTTGAGGGATGCCTAAGGAGGTGCCTTCTCCCATCAACCTCCTTCGCTTGACTACACCCCCAATTAGGAGGAGAAGCAAGTGGGTCCAACCTGGCTGACCCCACAATCAATTTTCAATTTCAGTCCATTCTCTTGGGGCCAATTCTCACAGCAGGGAGTGCATCTTCCCAGAATCGCCTGCATTTTCTCCAACTCTCCACCCCCTTCTACACTCATCCTTCTTGACTTGGATGGAAATGATTATGGTTCTTGGGTCTGTCTTCTAGCTTCACATTTGGAGGAAGACTGTTCTCCTGTATATGACAGCCAAAGGCATGGTCACAGCCACAGCCCCAAGGATCATTCAGGAGCCTATCCTGGGGACTCTGGGCCCAAAGCCCGGGACTGGCCCTCAGCTCTGCTGCTTCGCATGGCTCCTTACGTAGACGGCCTGTCCATTGATGTCACTGCTGACAGAGGCAGATGTGGGAGAGGTGTTGGGCACTGTATTGGTGCTTGTCTCACTGATGTAAATCTTAGAGGTGGGGATTTTCAGAGCTGTGCTGGCCACCTGCAAAGAGAGACAACATCACCCTCTAGAGAAGGGGCGAGCATGGGGCTTGGCTGCCTGATTGCCCAAGACAGGATTCAGTTTCACTGTTACAGGCAAGAAAACAATGTTGTAAACCAAAATTCTACTAAGACTGGAGTGTTCTCAAAACTGTCTGAATTTAAAACAGCATTTTATGGAATGGTTTGGTTGGATAAAAACTTCATAAACCTCGTGATGATTAAAAGAACCTTTTACATTTTAAAGTTAACCTCATTTTGAAACTGCAGTATGGCCTCCCTCCATGAGCCAAGTATGTGTGCCGACTCTAATCCACCTCAACCACCCTAGCCCCACATGTGAGGAGTCTCTCACACGTGTGCAGAACTAGCTACCTTTATACACACAGCACACCCACCTGACACACAGTCACAGAGCCCTGGAATGTTGGTAATGAAAGTGACCTCAGAGATCACCTGTTCAACCCATTTACACAGATCAGGAAACTAAGGTCAAGTTGGGAGACAACTTGCCCAAGGTTACATGTAAATAAGAAGCAGAGCCAAGGCCAGAGCCTAGGCCTGCTTCTGTTTCTGGTATTTCCCATCACTCAGTTTTTCACAGCACCTTCTCTCACAGACTCCACTGTGCCCAAGAGGACCACCAAAGTCCCCAGGCTGCTCACCTGGACCATCTTGGTGTGAAGGCCTTGTCCCATCTCAGTGCCGCCATGAGTCAGCAGTACAGAGCCATCTGTGTACACATGAACCAGGGCTCCTGCCTAAGGGAAGAGAAGGATGCCAGACACAAAATTCAGTAAATCCTAGCTCAGCTTAAGGCTTGAGACAAAAATACTGGAGCCCAGGAAAGAAGAGAACCAGAAGACATTTTGGATACAAACCCTAGAGACAAAAATTAAAGCAGTATCAGTCTCATGATTTCATCAGAGAGCCCTTCAGAAGTTGGCAAAATTTTTTCAACTCTCCCTCTGCCTCCCATCCTTAGAGGGAGGTGGGTCACATATCTTTGTCCTCACTCTATAGAAGAATTAGGATCAGAAAGGCTCAGTAACTGTCCATGGTTCTGCAATCAGGAGCAATAAGAACTAGAATTTGACCCCAGATCTCTGAGCCTCACGTTGCTCTCAATGTCCCAAAATATACTAGACAAATAGGGATATGCAAATTCAACTTTAATTTAAACAGCAAAGAGCTTCTCTAGTCAGCTCTGTTGCCAGTGACAGTGAGATTTCCCTTGCAAAGGGGGAAATGGGGCCCAAGTCCAGTGGAGATGGACAGAATTATACAAAGCAATTACCTGATTTAGAAAAGCAAGTCTGAAGCTTATTCCAAACTTGGTAGGAATTATGCACAATCCTCTCTTTTTCCAACAATTCTCCCTGGAAAAAAAGGAACATTCACATAGAACTCTCTTTATCATATTTATGTCAGATTGGACATATTTTCAGTCAACATCTTTGTATAATTGGAACAAAGCATCCTGGGAGCTGCCCAAATAGTCATTGTCATAACTGCGTTGTGCCCCAATTGTGTAGACAACATGAGAAAGGTAGGAATTTGGGTTCTGGGTCCTTCATTTCAGCTGGAGCAGGGCCTACCCTGAGCATCTTGACTTTGGAGCATCATCACTCTTCTCCCCCAAGTGGAATTCAGATTGGGTCAGAGGCCCTGGTAACCTTGGGCTGTGATTGTCCCAGGGAGGAACTGTGGCTTGCTGATGATAATAATACCTTCTCTGTGCTTTGTATTGGTTTTCCAAGTAACTCAGTGAGGAAGACAAAGCCAACACAATTATCCCCACGTTGCAGATGATGACACTGAGACCCAAGGAGATGGAGTGACTACCAAGGTGACATTTACAGATTAGTGTCAGAAGCAGGTGCATAACTGGTTTTCTTAGGCCTGGGCTGGTGTTCTCTAGAACAGAGCCTGCCCAGAAAGCAATGTGTAAAGATGAACATTAGGAGTTGGCTTGGGAATGCCAGCTCTGAGCAGCAGGGCCCCGGTTCAGATCCCACATAAGGGCTTGTGATGCACCCTTCACAGCTAAGATGGTGAACAACAGCTCGACCTGGAGCTGGGCTGCTGTGAGTCGCCGGCAACAGTATAGGCTGCAGTGGGCTGCCATGAGCTACCGAGAGCGGCTGGCAGCCAAGATGAGCTGCCGTGAGCTGCTGTAAGCTGCTGTGAGCAGCCGTCCAATGGCCAGCAAGCGACTGTCTCAACCAGGAAGAGCGCAATGATAATACCAACATGGGCCAGTGAAGCAACATCCTCCACAACTAGACTAAAGAACAAAAGGACAGCAACTTGTCTGTTCCCCTTCCCTGATTCCCCAATAAAATCCTTAAAAAAAAAAGATGAACCATACTGATACACTTGCTGCTGAGTGCAGGCTATGAACCCACCTGCCTGCATGCTAGGATCATTTCATGATCTTAGAGAGATGGCTATGAACAGGTTAGCACACTCAACAGCCTCATAAGTTATCCATTAAATTATTAGCTTTCAATTCTGAATTCAGTGAAAGGCTGTAGATTATAAAACCCAAGAGAGCACCAGAACATTGGACACTTCCCCTCCCAGCACTTACCTGTTGAATTTGTCAACCTCACTCCTCCGGACGTGATAATGAGATCTTATTAGACATTCATCCCAGCACCTGGGCAAGGTGAACCCCTCAAGCTTCTGGTTGAAGTGTGTCAGGTCCCCTTCTTTGTACAGGTTCTTCCTCCGCACCTTTTCAAGAAGAGGGACATGAAGGTTTTGTTGTTGGCAAGACAGGGGGGCACAGCCTAAAGTTAAGCTTCCGGTTTCATGAACAACACGTGCCTGTCCTCTGCCCCTATGGGAGATCCCCAAGATACAAAGCCACTGTCCCGTCAAAGGAGGCTCACGCACTCTGACTTGTGCCACCAAATTCCCAGCTTACTTCCTCTGCAGGCAGCCCACAGGTCACTGCGACGTCACTCATCCAACACTCGGCAATGAGCATCCCCTGGGGCCCCCCGAAGCCCCGGAAGGCCGTGTTGGAGGGCAGGTTGGTCTTGCACAGCCGCCCAGTGCCCCGGATGTTGGGGATTTTGTAGCAGTTGTCCATGTGGAACAAAGCTACTTCCATTACCTGAAGCAGAGGAACCAAAATGGGAGAGAACAGTGTAGGTCATTTTCCTCAAAAGAGAGCTTTCAAGGGCTGCATTCAGTCCTGCCTTTCCCAACACCACTCGCAACAGCTCTCCTCAGGCCCAAATGATTTCTTCCCTGGGATATTGCAACAGCCTCCTTACTGCACTTCTGGCTTTCCATGTCTCCTCCCTCTAATCTATGCTTCATACTGAAATATTAGGTCACATGAGGTCAAGCACTTGTTTAAAACTGGCACGTTTTATCTGCAGAGTGCAGTCTATATATCTTTCAACATGGAATTCAAGACCCTTTATGACCTTTCCCCAACATATTTTTATCCTCTTTTCTGACTACGTGTTGTTACTCTCACCTGTCATGCCCATCCTCACCTTATCCACCTGCTAAAACCCCCATTTCTCAACGGAGTAGACCTCATCAGACCCTCTAGTTGGCATTGATCACTTGACTCTTTAAAAAAATAGGTCATTTTATTAATTAGTTTTAAAGTAGTTTTTATTCCCATTA